GGTTTAGGGTTTAGGGGTTTAACGTTTAGGGTTTAGGGTTTAGGGCCCTAGACCCGCAAGATCCCGAAACTGACACTTTGGGGTCGAAGGTCTCCATAGGGCCGGGCATTTGGCGAGATGAGCCAACCCGTTCAGATTGAGCTGGCCGATCGATTTGAAAGGCTTATTCTGAACACCCGCTGTCTTCATGATGTCATGTCATTTTCCGAACTAGGTCTACAAGGTTTACAGTAATCATGCAGCGGATGAGGCCATCGTCATGGGGAACGTGGAGTGCTGGATAGACGGCGGGGCTCCCAGAATGCTATAGTGTCTCACCACAGCCTGGGAAAGGGGCCTTAGCCTGCACGGACAAGCCCTGCACCAGAGATACCCCGAAGCATCGTCTAGGTCTACTGCAGGGGTTTGACAGCCGTCAAAATGTCCACAGAGGAGGAGTTGCTACACTAAAGCTTTGACCTCCGTTTGGTGACGCGCTGAGCCTCGTCCCCTTGCTTCTGCTGCGCTGGGATCCGACCTTGCCTCTTGCGAGCAAAGTCACAACGCCTCAGCCCTGACTTGGAGCACCATTTGTATCCTGGTGGGGCCTGTACGCCGCCGAGCGAGCTGTGACCAGCTCTTCCGTCTCGCAGTCGTGTATAGATCATAGCTCAGCAGGCAGAGGGGCTCTTGGGATACTGTAGCTTGCTACTGTAGCTTACTGAGTCCCTGCCTGCATGTTTGTTCAGTTGCAGCTTTGACCTTGTGCGGGATGAAGCTTCAAGATCTTTCAACCCATGCCCGCGAGCGCTGGACGAGTCTTAGTGGTTTGTTCTTCTGATGACAGCCAAGGTTTCAATTATGACACCTGTTGTGATCCGAAATTCGGTCCGAGTGGCAATGCCCAGTGCCGGCTCCTTATGGCTCTGATCATCGTGAGGTGCAGTGTTATCTCATTGTTGTTGTGTTTGCAGTTGCCATGGTTGCTGTTCATTGTGTTTCCTGTGGGTCTGGTTGACGATGTGAGCCGGTTCCTTTTTTGTTTAATGCTTTGTGGTGATTGCAGATGCTGGTGGTGGCGGTGGTGGTGGCGGCGGTGGTGGCGGTGGTGGTGGCGGTGGCGGTGGCGGTGGCGGTGCCGGTGGTGGTGGTGGTGGTGGTGGTGGTGGTGGTGGAGTGGTGGTGTCGTCGGTGTTGTTATTGTGGCAATTGATTGTGCTGCTGCTGCTGCTGCTGCCACTGTAGTCGCTGCCGCTGCTCTTGTGTTTGTCGGCATCAGCCTGCTTCTAGCAGTAGCAGTTCGAGCAGGCTTCACCTTTTCGATTCTGGAATTGTACTTCCCTTGTGATCAGCTTCGTTGTGTCAAGCTGTTGCTGTTCAAGCCGATCCTGACTTGGCAATGCACACGTGTTCGGTACATGCGTGCCGGTCTGCATGTGCGCATGTGTAGTGTACATGCATGCATGCATGCATGCAGTCACAACTTTTCATCATCATCATCATCGTCACCATCACCATCATCTAGATCATCATCATCATCATGTAGATTATTATGGTCATCATGATCATCATCATCATCATGATGATGATCATCATCATCATCGTCATCAGCGTTGTCATCATCATCGTCATCGTCATCGTTGTCGCCCTCATCGTCATCATCATCATCATCATCATCATCATCGTCATCGTCACCACGGCAGCGACAGCAGCAGCAGCAGCAGCAGCAGCAGCAGCAGCAGCAGCAGCAGCAGCGGCACCTGCACTCTTGTTGTGTGTGCATCTTTGTAAAAAGCGAGAGGTCGGACCGCGTAGGACCGGTTGAGGGAGCCAAGGGACGCCGGTGCTATAAGCATCGCAATGCAGACCCTCCTCTGCGCACGAATCGGCTCGGACCACTGTGGATGCCTTGAGTTCTCTTGAGGCTGGGATGGCGTGTTCAACTACGACAGATGCTGCTTCCCCAAGGACTGATCAAATGCTAGCACGCTGGACTTGGAGGCTTGTCCACTTCATGAAGTTCGGAGGTTTGCAGTGCCTGATTGTTGAGCTGGTTGGTCTACATGCAGATGCATGTGTCGGATCGAAGTCTTCCCTCTGCCACGAGTTACCGGCAGTTCTCCGAACGGATTATCGCTTAAAGCATGATGGAGATCAGCTCTTTGCCACCAGTTAGGTTTGCGGTGTTTACGACGAGAGCTTCAAAAAGAAAGCGCTTGACGTTCCGCCCTTAAAGCGGGACTCCATCTGCCCCTCAACAAGCCAAAAAAAGCCCTAAACGCCCTAAACCCTAAACCCTAAACCCTAAACCCTAAACCCTAAAACCCTAAACCCTAAACCCTAAACCCAAGCCAAAAAGCCCTAAACCCTGCCCCCGGACAGGACGAGCTTTGAGGCGAAAGAGGCCGACCCCTGGCCCAGCCGTGGCCTCCGACGCTCGCGCCGAAAGCCGCGCAAAGAGCTGAGCAGCTCTGGCTTGGCTGAGAAGTTTCACCCAGCGGTCCTCGGCCCCCCGATTAGGGTCTCCACGGATAAGAGGTTGGAATTTGGGGTTTAGGGTTTAGGGTTTGTTAGGGTTTTACGGATAAGAGGTGGGAGTTTGGGGGTTTAGGGAAGTTTAGGGTCTGGGGACTGAGAGACCCCGATCTATTATGACGCTCGGCGAGAGCAAAGGCCCGCTTGAAGCATACTGGGTCAGTAGGGGTTTAGGGTTCAGGAATGATTCCATGATGCTAAAAAATAGATCCCCCTAATAAGGGGGTTCCTATAAATTACCCTTTAGTAGTTCGGGCCCCTAATTAGGGGATCTCTTTTTAGGGTTTTGGGGGCTTTCCCTTGAAAGGCACCTTGTGCATGGGCATGTGCCAGCCGGGGCTCAAAGTCTGGGAGTCTGCGCCTGCAGGCTGCACCCGTGGCAGACACCGGCGGAGGGCTACAGCAGCTTTAGCGGTACTGCGACCATACTAAGCTCCATCCTGCAGTTTCAGGGGTATGCTTTGCCCGCCTGACGCAGTGGATGGCTTCAGCATATGCTGATCCATGGGACGGAGTGCAGGCATTCAGCGAAGCCATGTTCACAGGCCTTTTGACGGAGTCTGGCCTTTGCACATGATCTTCCATGATAGGCTCGGCATGCAGCCCCATGCAGATCCAGGCGGCAGGCCCAGGAGTGGAATGCAGCTTGAAAGTTCTTTTCTGTTCCGATACATGCACCTGGATGCAGCACGACGGAGATGCTCCCTCTTGGCATTCAGAAACTCGATGAATTTTTCGTAGTCATGACATGCTCAGCTCGCAGGTGCGGGAAGCGATCCCAGCTGCAGCGGCTCCATGAGATCCAGGCCCAAACGGCCCGTGGGCGCAGCTTGAGCCCAGCCGAAGCGGAGCCCGCGGAGCCCGCGGAGCCGGCCCAAGCCGTGAGATCCGCTCCTCAGTGGGAGGCCGAGTTGATCTCGCCGGACCTGGCGGTGCCTGGCACTGGGTTCTCCTTTCCGGACCCCAGCCCCAGCTTCCCGCGCTTCCCAAGGCCAGCGCCGTCCCAAGCCATGGCCCCCATAGGGGCTTCCATGGAAGCACCCCCCAGGTCCGAGTTCTTGAGGCATCTGCGCGAGCTGGAGGCAGACCTTGAGCTGGCCCAAAGCCTGAGGATGAGGCTTCCCTTCTCCTTGGCGCAGCGCATCCGACGGCTTCCCATCCGCACCGGGCTCCTCAAAGAGGTGGCCTCCTTGGACCCGGAAGAAGCGACTTCGTCGGCTTCCGTCACTCTGGATCTGCCCCTAGGGCCCAGAAGCGTCTCTGACCTCAAAGACAGGAGTTCAGCTCAAGAGCCTGGAGTCAGCTCACTAGGCCCAGGGCTGGACCTGCAGATGGCATTGGAGAAGGAGGTGCGCGCTCCTCTGAGAGAGCTGCAGCTCGTGCTTGAGCAGGTCAAAGCCAGGCAAGACAACCTCCAGAGGTTTCTGGAGCGTGCAGACGTGCAGTCTGTAGAGAGCCGGTACCCGAGCCCCAAAGTGAGTGGGCGTCGGATGCCATCCCCACAGCCTTCAAGAAGCTTTCAACTTTTGGACGAAGCTTTGGCAGAATGGCCAAACGGAGCAGAAACCTTTGCACCGTTTCGAGAGCAGAGATGTCCAAGAAGCGGGGACAAAGTTGCCTCGCATGGGGAGAGCCCAGCGCCGATTCGGATCCCGCGTCTCGGCTCTTCAGCGCAGATTTCTGACTTGTCTAACCCTAAACCCTAAACCCTAAACCCTAAACCCTAAACCCTAAACCCTAAACCCTAAACCCTAAACCCTAAACCCTACCTTGGCAGCCCAGAGCTCAGTCAGTGGGGAGACTGGAGGCCAGAGCCCGTCACGAAGCAGGTCGCTGCCAGGCCTCAGGCCGGGCTGAGGGCCTACCGAAGCGTTTGGGCTTGGGTTTAGGGTTTAGGGTTTAGGGTTTAGGGTTTAGGGTTTAGGGTTTAGGGTTTAGGGTTTAGGGTTTAGGGGGGCTGCAGATCGCGATCTGTCCCCAGGAGTCGCTGATGCAGGCGTATCTGGCATTCCTCAAGGGTGAGGTCGACGGCGCCGGCCTCGGTTGAGGCTCAGATGCCGTCGCTAAGCCGCAGCTGTGGCGAGGTCTGCCTCCAGATCCGGTGCCCATGCAAGGCTCAATGCAACTTGCTGCAGATGCTCCAAAGTGTGTAATGTAGGGGCTTTAATAATTGGAACAGGGTTTTGGGGGTTCCTTACTATTACCTATAGTATGATATACCCCAAACCCTATTCCAATTATTAAGGCCCCTACATTGATCAGTGTAATCTTCGTAGTGATGTAGCGTCCGCTCTGCGGCATCTCCGAGCTCGCCGGCAGCAGGCCTCGCGGCCGACATGGTCACACCGAATCGCCCCGAGGAGGCGGCCGGTCATTCAGGCGGCCTGCAGCAAGTGTTTCCACAACCCTAAACCCTAAACC